AATTATGGAATAAATTGAAATTTAAAATAAGTTGGCTTTCACGACGACTTTCCGAAAGAATGTAGATTTTTACAATTGTTAAGATTTTTTGGAAGTTGGGGGAGTTTTATATTTGTTATAAGTTGTGAAAAAATTATTTCCCAAAGTCGTATATAAATAAAATGGAACTAAAAATATTAAAAAAATTGACGGCAAAAAGTAATTGAGTTGACGACAAATAACATGCCTCGAAAACTTATACAAATTTATCCGGATTTTTTATTAAAAAAATAGTTTGCTGCTACTTCTTGATGCAACATGCAAGCTCTTGGAGATTCCATTTTTGCATCATTAATCATCTCTTTTATACAAGACAAACATATTACATGCGCTTCATGTATACAAGCTGATTCAATAACAAAGGAAACAATAGAAGCTGCATGTAACACCTTAGGCGAATCCCAAATCGACAAAGCACAAGAGAGATCCATGGTTCATAAGTAGGAAATCGACATTAGATGACAAGACGCATTTTGGGGTGTAATGGTGGAGTTCTTTAGAGAACTCTTAAGTTAAACGTGCTAAATGTGGAGTACAACAAGGATGGGTGATCTTATGGGAAGTCACCTTGAATTGCACCCCAAGTCAAAATCCGTGAGGGTCGAGGCCCAAAGCGGACAGTATCTTCGTTGGGTAAAGGTTTGGGATGTTACAAGTGGTATAAGAGCCTCTCTGCGTACCTCTTGAACAATGGTGGGGCGAACCTCAACGAGAGCGTTGAGTCCCGGGGGGGGGGGGGGGGGGGGGGGGAGGTTATGTAACACCTTAGGCGAATCCTACATCAACAAAGCACGGGAGAGATCCATGGTGCATAAGTAGGAAACCGACCTTAACTGACAATACACGTTCTGGGGTGAAATGGAGGAGTTCTTGTGAGAACTACGAAGTTAAACGTCCAACTATTTAAATCCAATTCATTTGATCTAAATCCAATTGGATTTGTGGATTATTGGATTGATCCATGGATCCAAATAGAAACTTACGATTTAGTATCTATACTTTTTGTATTTTACATTTTGGTACCTAAAATATATATTTTTAAGAAAGTGTCATTGAAAAATTACATATTGGTACCTAAATTTTTAAGGTTAAATACACTTGTATATCCAAAACTTTCACGGTTGTGCCAATAATATCCAAATTTCTCGAAATACCACTTATATCCAATTCCTTCACATTCTTTAACGTTGTTCTTGGGTATATAAGTGTATTTAACCAAAAATATATTGGGAAATGGATAGATTTGGCAAAGAACAACTTTAAAACATGGATATAAGTGGTATTCCGGGAAATTTGGATATTATTGGCACAACCGTGAAAGTTTTGGATATACAAGTATATTAAACCAATTTTTTATTATGATATTTTAGTATCTAAACTTTTCAAAATCTATGGTTTGGTCCAAGGGTTTGGATATCATTTAGATCCATGGATCAATCCACCAATCCATATAATCCAATTCACATATACATCAATCCATTTGATCCAATCGACTTGATCCATAAATTGACTAATCCAATCCATCAGTCAATAGATCCAATCGACTTGATCCATAAATTGACTAATCCAATCCATCAGTCAATAGATCCAATCCATTTGTTACATCTAATCAAGAGAATGCTACAAAGAGGTCAATATAGGCAGAGACTGTGCAGGCGACAACAAAGAGAGAGGGGATAACTGACTGGAAGGTTAAATGTAGAGAGATGATAATCTAATGTTTTGAAGATTTCTTAGTCAATTGGCTAAGGAATATCCTTAGTCACTCCAACCAGACTCTCTAATTATGTATATATGTATCCACCAAATCAAAGAAATTAAATAGATAAACGAACTGGATTGTTATTTAATCATGGATCAGACCATAGTCATTTACAACTTACAAGTTCCAAGTAAAGAATTGTTAAAGAAAAAGAGGTCTATGAATAAATTATAAAAAGGGCTAAATTACACGTTTAGTCACTCAAATTATACAAATTTTTCACATTTGTCACGCGAATTACTTTCCTTTATTATTCGCCACTAACTTTACGAATAGTTTCACCGTTAGTCACCGGTCGTTACACTCCGTTAAATTTGTCCTACGTGGAAATCAACTATAAAGTTTGACCGTTAACTAGATGACATGGAAATTAAAAAAATAATTTAAATTTCCACCTCATCATTCCACTTACTTTTTTATATGATTTATAATATTAATTAATAATTTAATAAACAAAAAAGCCATGTCCGTTGATCTCGATTCCCTGCCCAGCTTGTCCAAAATTCGAGTCGGCTGTCGGGATCAGTCTCTGGGACGCTCCCCGGGCTTGCAGCGACGGCGGTAAAGACGACATTGTAGTTCTAAACAATAATTCATATCGAAATAATTCGGTGGAGAAGGAAATCGTCAATTCCAGCTACGAGGAGTGCCAGACACCAAAATCGGCAGAATTTAAGATCTCAATGATCCTGAGTTGCCCGCAGCTGAGGAAACCGAAGAGCACGCCGATCTCCTTCAAGCGGAAGCTGGTTTCATAGCTGGCCTTCATTGACGTGGTGCTCCGATCTGGTTTCCAGCTAGCCAAGTGGATCAATGAAAAAACAGGGGGTTGCAATGTGATTCTTTGCTTCTCCAAAGATTCCCCTGGTTTTAGCAACTTGAGAGATTGGAGCGGGGCTAGACTTTAGCTCTATTCTAATTTATGCTTGCTCATTCATCAACCCAAACCATCTTGTTTCCCCCTGTTTCTATTCCAGCCTCCCCTATTCTCTCTGCCTCAACTGTTTTTACTCTCTTTCCTTGCTCCTTGACAAAATGTGGGCTTACACATCGTCTTGGATGTGGTTTCTATTCACGGTGGCCCTGATACTCGCCATGGTTTCTCCGTCGTCGTCGGCAGTGAGTTTTTTCTTCACTACTACTGTTTTCCATTTGGAGAGAACGTGGTCAACGAGGCCGATAACGATGATGACGCCGAAGAGCATGACCTTGCTGAGGAGGCTCAGGAGGACCTTTTTGCGACCCTTGTTGTGTTTGTCGTAGAAGACAAAGATAGAGAGGTAGACGAGCTCAAGCGCTAGGTCGGAGACCAATCCCGATTTGATTTTGGGCAAGCTGGGCCGAGAATCGATTCTGACGAGTTTTTTTCATTCTCTGCATGTCATCTTCGTTCGCTTGTTCGTCTCCTTCCGATCAACTCATTTCTCTCACCACTAATTTTTGTGTTAATTAATTCTTCCATATTAATTAATTTGTTTATAAAAACCTTTTCCTCGATTCCGACGAGTTTTTTTTATGATGGTGAAGTTGGGAGGAGGGGAGGATGTGATGATTGGAAAATTATCATTTAATATTGGCAAAATACACTTGTATAGTTAAAACTTTCGCGTTAGTGCCAAATAATAGCAAAATTTGGAGAAATATCACTTATAGCCAGATTTTGTAAAGGGTATTGGGCAAATTTAGTCATTTCCGTTAGATACTTTAACGGTGTTATTAACACCGTCAATTTCTTTGACGATTCGCCGATTAGGTGCCAACTCAGCCGACACGTCAATGCCAAATAAGGCGAAAGTGATACATCATAATTTAAATTTATTTAATAATAACATGTCATAAATTAATTAAAAAAATAAATAAATACAATTAATTCATGAATTTTTAATCCTTCCCCACCTCACTTTCCCTTACTCCCTCTCTGACAATGGGGATTTCTACGAGGGCACTTGGAAGAAGAATCTCAATAATGGAAACCCCACCCAGCCCTCACCAGGAGGTGGTTTGACTCTATCTTCGGAATTCGGGGTAATTAGCATAAAAGGTTACAAACCTATTCACTTTTTACGAAACGGTCATAAATCTTTTATTTTGTACGTTTCAGTAACATACGTTTGCGAGAATAACGAAATGGTCATTCTGTCAATCTCCATAAAAAAAACCGTTAGTTTCGTCCAGTCATCACGTCACATAACTTAAAATATTAGTAAAAAATTGGCTAAATTACACGTTTGGTCACTAAAATTATACAAATCTTTCACATTTGCCACCCGAATTACTTTTCTTTCTTATTCGCCACTAACTTTACGAATAGTATCACCGTTAGTCACCGGTCGTTATACTCCGTTAAATTTGTCCTACGAGTCAGTCAACTATAAAGTTTGACCGTTAACAAGATGATGTGGAAATTAAAAAAATTAATTTAAATTTCCACCTCATCATTCCACTTAATTTGTCCATATGATTTATCATATTAATTAATAAATAAAAAACATCGATTCCCTGCCCAGCTTGCCCAAAATCAAATCGGGATTGGTCTCCGACCTGGCGCTTGAGCTCGTCTACCTCTCTATCTTTGTCTTCTACGACAGCCACAACAAGGGTCGCAAAAAGGTCCTCCTGAGCCTCCTCAGCAAGGTCATGCTCTTGGGCGTCATCATCGTTGTCGGCCTCGTCGGCCACGTTCTCTCCAAATGGAAAACAGTAGTAGTGAAAAGAAACTCACTGCCGAAGACGACGGAGAAACCACGGCGAGTATCAGGGCCACCGTGAATAGAAACCAATCCAAGACGATATGTAAGCCCATATTTTGTCAAGGAGCAAGGAAAGAGTGTAAAAACAGTTGAGGCAGAGAGAATAGGGGAGGCTGGAATAGAAACAGGGGAAAACAAGATGGTTTGGGTTAATGAATGAGCAAGCATAAATTAGAATGGAGCAAGGGGAATCTTTGGAGAAGGAAAGAATCACATTGCAACCCCTGTTTTTTCATTGATTCGCTTGGCTACCAGATTGAAGCACCACGTCAATGAAGGCCAGCTCTGAAACCAGCTTCCGCTTAAAGGAGATCGGCGTGCTCTTCGGTTTCCTCGGCGGCGGGCAACTCAGGATCATTGAGATCTTGAATTCTGCCGATTTTGGTGTCTGACACTCCTCGTAGTTGGAATTGACGATTTCCTTCCCCACCGAATTATTTCGATATGAATTATTGTTTAGAACTACAATGTCGTCTGTGCCGCCGCCGCTGCAAGCCTGGGGAGGGTCCCGGAGACTGATCCCGACAGCCGACTCGAATTTTGGGCAAGCTGGGCAGGGAATCTAGATTAGCGGACATGGCTTTTTTGTTTATTAAATTATCAATTAATATTATAAATCATATAAAAAAGTAAGTGAAATGATGAGGTGGAAATTTAAATTAATTCTTTTAATTTCCATTTCATCTAACGGTCAAACTTTATAGTTGATTGCCACGTAGGACAAATTTAACGGAGTGTAACTGCCGGTGACTAACGGTGAAACTATTCGTAAAGTTAGTGGCGAATAAGAAAGAAAAGTAATTCGCATGGCAAATGTGAAAAATTTGTATAATTTGAGTGACCAAATGTGTAATTTAGCCTATAAAAAAGAGAAACGAATAGTTTATAAATCACAAGAGGATCAATAAATAGAGCCCCGAGCGATAAATAATCAACATCGTTATCATAAACCTCAAGCAGTAGTGGTGGATTTTCTCACTGAAACATATTTCCCTTTTTATTTCACTCCCTCCGAATTCACCATAGAAACAATCAACCTCGCCGTCGGTGATTGGACTGTCATCATCATCGCCGCCGCCATTTCCTTGACGGACGACATCGCTTTCAACCACCGTGGCGGCAGCCGGAGAATGATCTTCTTGGAGGAGGTCATGATCATCAGCTAGCAAATGAGGCGGCGGCGGCTCGTGAAGCTGCTGGAGCTCCCATTCTTCTGCGTCCATTCCCCACTCCACGCAATCCACTCCCGCCATAGCTAATGCTTCCAGCGATATTGACGACATGGTTATTGTTTTACCTTGTGATCAAGAAAGAAATTAGTGTATGTACGTACAGTTAGACGCTTGATGCAGAGATGTTGGATAATTTGTATACGTATATATAGAGTCATGTCCTATATATGCTCGGGCCGGCAATATTGTAAGTTGGACCGTATGGATTCACGGGGTAATTATTTTACCTGAAGAATTCAAAATTGTGGAAGTTTTGAATTCAACGTTGAAGAAGGGAAAGAATGGTCTTCTTATATGTATGTATCTGAAGAAGATTACCAAAGTAGTAAAGGAGCAAAAAGCAAGCGTGCATCCCGTGACATTCGTATTCATGCATATGCCCATATACTAAGACGAAAATATAATTGACTGAAGTGATCAAACGCACGTATGTTTTAAGTAGCCAAATAGCAAGCAAGCAAGGATGATGATGATGGAAGCAGTGATCTAATCTATTTCTCGTCATGTGGCATATCATCCAATAGTTCTATCAATCTTCCTAAAATAAAATATATTAACACCAAGATTTCACATATTACCTTTTATCAAAAAATTAATATGATAAAATCGGGCAAGGTTGGCCAAGGGATACCATCGAAACCTTGGGCGAAGTTGTTTGGAGTTTCAGAAGCTAATCGGCTAAGCTATTTTCCACCAGAAGTCGTCAATGGAGGCCTTCGTACGTCGAAGTCTGTCCGTGAAGCAGGGGCTGCGAGGTGGAAGAATTGCTTGGTGGGTCAGTTTCTGCAGAAACCTCCCCCGATGTTCGTGTTGCGTCGATGGGCGAATAAGCTATGGGGTCGAGATGGGCAGGTAAGGGTTTCATACCTGTGTGATCAATTATTGCTTATCCAGCTCCCGTCGCAGAGCACCTGTGAATGGATTCTGGAAAATGGACATTGGTTTTATTTTGAAAATCTGCTTTACCTGAGACCATGGACGCCGAGCATTAGTGTGGAGGATTTGGGTAGGAAGGCTTTGCCAATTTGGTTTAAGATGACGAATGTCCTGCTGGAATATGTTGATTATGAGGGATTAGGAAGGATTGCTAGCTGGATTGGGATTCCTCTCGGGGTGGACCAGACAACTAAATTGGGTGGAAGATTAGGGCTGGCTAAGGTGCTGGTGGAATTGACTGCTGGAGACACTTTCCCATATCACATTACACTGTAGCCTGATGAAGATCGATCTATCAAGGTTGGTCTTGAATATTGTTTTCTGCCTCCAGTATTTAGGAAGTGCAAGCCGTTTGGTAAGAGCTGTGGTTGTGAGATGGTGGTTGGTAAGAAGGTTTGGGTCAAGAAGGTTCTGTCAGTAGAAGATAGAGTGCAGAAGCAGGAAGAGACTGACAACGCTCAAATACCAGTTGAAGAGGTTCAGGCTAATAGTAAGGGAAATGATGTGATATCTGATATGATTGTTGATCCTCAATTGGCAGCAATATGTGATACTCCTATTCAGGAAGCTAGTTCTAGTGGGACTGTGGCTCGTGGGGTGCAAGGCTTCAATTTGGATCGCTCCTTTTTAGCGGTAGCTAATGCTTCTGCGCAGCTCCCAGCTGTAGATGAGTTTCAACGTGTGGTTCATGGTGCGAGGCCACGAGTCTGGTCTCCAAGAGCTAGTCCTACTCCTACTAGTGTGTTGCACGTTTACCCCTCCTCCTTTAGTGTGCTCAGTGACATTGATGAATCTGAGGTAGTAAAGCTACAGGTAGCACCAAGGAAAGATAGCAAGAAGTTAGGGGCTAAGCCCCTGGCTTCCAGATGATTTTTCTGTATTGGAATGTTCGAGGGTTTAATAAGCCCTCGAAGAGGCAGGATTTTGTCAAAATCCTGAGGAAGTACAAAGTAGATGTAGTTGTTATTCTTGAGACAAGAATTCATAAAAATAAAGCTGAGGAGAAGATTGAAGGCTATTTTGATGGTTGGGAGAAATCATTGAATTATGTCGATTCTGACTTAGGAAGGATTTGGTTGTTTTGGTCACAAGAGTGTAAGCTAAAAGTACTTAAGCCAAGTAAGAACTTTGTTCATTGCTTGGTACAAAGTGGTTCTGGCGAGACTTGTTTCTTCACTGCAATCTATGCATCAAATGAGGAAGTTGAGAGACGAGATACATATGCAGAATTGAGTAGATATAAGGTAGTGGGCCAAGCTTGGATTGTAGATGGTGACTTTAATGCAGTAATGACCCCGGAGGAGACATCAAACCAGCGTTACATCACTGCTAGTATGGAGGATTTTTCAACCTGGATGAATGATATGGAGTTAGTGAATTATCGGACTACGGGTCCTATCTTCACGTGGTCTAATAACCAGAAGCAAATCCTATAGCAAAGAGACTTGATCGAGGCCTTGTGAATATTGAATGGATTGAGAGCTTTCCTAATGGCACAATGGAGGTGATTCTGGGATCCTTCTCTGATCATGGTGGAATTTTAGTTAATCCTGATCCGGTAATCAAGAGTCTCCCTAAGCCTTTTAAATACTTTGACTTTTGGGCAGACAATCCGAAGTTTTTGGAGATTGTAGAGCAAGCATGGGATACTCAATTCACAGGGAATCTGCTGTATGTAGTGCAATGCAAGCTAAAAGTCGTGAAAATGGAGCTCAAGAAGTTGAACAGAGAAGTGTATGACAATATTAGTGAACAAGTTCGGGTAGTGGAGCAACAACTTCTAGTATCTCAGACACTTGCCTTAATGGACCAACAAAGGAGAACTTCAAGGATAAGAAAATGCTTCAGGAGCAGTTTGAAATGTTAAGGAAGGTTTAAGAAGATTTCTTTAAAAGGAAGTCTAGAGAATCTTGGCTTACTAAAGGTGACCTGGGAACTAGATTCTTCCATCAAGTTGTACGGATACAGACTGCAAAAACTGCGATAAGGAAGCTGATATTAGACTCTGGGGCTGAAGTGACTGATGTAGATGAAATTGCGTATGAGGGTATTCCATTTTATAAGGGCCTGTTTGGTGTGATTAATGAGGAGGTGTCTGCTAATGAAGAGAGGATTTGTGAGGTAATCAAAAGGCATTTGGCTGAAACCGAGCAAAGCATGGTAAGTAGTCCATTCAAAGAAGAAGATGTACGAGAGGCAATTTTCAGCATGGATATTCACAAAGCCTCAGACCCTGATGGGTTTACTACAGTTTTCTTCTACAAAACTTGGCATATAGTGGGAAGAGATGTGACCAGCGCTATCTTAGAGTTCTTCCAGACAAAAAGAATGATTAGTGGAATTAACTCTACAGTTATCTCGCTTTGTCCAAAGGTACCAAATGCTACTCATCTTAAAGACTTTAGACCTATCTCTTGTGTGAATGTAGTCTATAAGATAGTTGCCAAGATGTTGTCCAAGAGGATTAGAGAAGTTTTACCTATAGTGATTAGTCTAAATCAGACTACGTTTATAAAAGGGCGTAGAATTATGGATAACATCATGCTAGCACAGGAACTTGTCAATGAGTATCATAGGAGAATGTTATCTTCTCGTTGTGCGATTAAAGTAGATCTTATGAAGGCGTTTGACTCGGTGAGTTGGGACTACTTATTCAAGGTTATGAAGGCAATGGGTTTCCCAAATGAATTCCTAAGCTGGATTAAGGCTTGCTTGTAGACTGTCCAATTCAGTTTGAACATAAATGGTGGTTTGTGTGGGTTCTGTAAGGCTGCCAAAGGAGTAAGGCATGGAGACCCGATCTCCCCATACCTTTTTGCCATCGCGATGGAAGGTCTAACGGGTTTATTGAACGAGGCTACTCAGGCAAGAAGGCTTCCATATCACCCTCGATATAAGCAGGTGGCAATGAGTCATTTGTGTTTTGCAGACGACTTGTTGATATTTACAGAGAGGCCAGGGAAAGCAATCAACAGTGTTCAACAAATACTGCAAAACTTCTACATACTGTCTGGATTGTGTTGTAACCCAAGTAAGTGTGAGATCTATTTTGGGGGTGAGTCTTATAAATACAAGCAGAAAGCCACTACTCTTACTGGGTTTAAAGAAGGAGTATGATGTTCTCATTTGTAAAATCACAAAGTCACGTCCGGGATGTCTAAGAAGTTGTCTTATGCAGGGCGTTTACAGCTAGTTTCCTTAGTGCTAATGAGTGTGGTCCAGTACTGGCTGCAGATTATTATCCTACCAAAGAAGATTTTAAAAAGAATCCAAAAGGTATGCCAAGAATTTCTACGGCATGGTGAGGAAACAGGAAGGGCAAAAGTAGCATGGGAGCGTATTACGCTCCCCAAATCTGAGGGTGGTCTAGGATTGCGAGATCTAACCTCCTGGAATCAAGCTTGCTCATTATGACTTTTATGGCTTATGTTGATGCAATCAGGTGCTCTGTGGGTTACCTGGGTGGAAGCTCATCGCTGTAAAGGGGAGGATGTGTGGCAGCTCAAGGTGAATTTCAGCAGATCTTGGGCGTGGAGGAAAGTGTTGCGCCTTCGTCCTAAAGTGCAGCATCTCTTTATTAGACAGGGGGATAGGGTACTTTGGGAGGGACAGCCTATGGAGCAATACTCAGCAAAAAGAGTATGGAACACACTCCGTCCTAAGTGCAGCAAGCAGGAATGGAGTCAGTTGGTCTGGGGGAAATGCAGTATCCCTAGATATAGTTTTATTGCTTGGCTAATAATGATAAATGCTTTGACAACTCGAAGCAAGTTGTTTAGATGGGGAAAAATCAGTGATGATAAATCATTTGAGTGGTGATATTTTATTGTCTTTTGATTTTGAAAATATAGGTTTACTTGATAGATACCATAGTTGATGATAACGCAATTTCAGAGTAGATAGTGGAGAGAGTGGAGATAGGAATTTCTTTTACAGGGAAGGCTACAACTAGTCTCTCTTTCGTTGTATCGATTCAACATCGTGATTTGCGATGGTAGTATAATGAGAAGAATTGATTCAACGGGGGAAAAAATTAATATGATTTCTTTCGTACCTTTCATTCAAAAAGAAAATTGACTTTTTTAATTTTCTGAGTTAATTACAACGGTCCAACAAAATTAAGATGAGCCATATGGATTAAATTTTTGGCCATGGCACATGTGCCATCACACCTGCGCCTCCACTATCACGCCATCTAGACCAAAATTGGACTAAGTGTGGCAAGCCCCCAGGTGCGGCGAGGGGATCATCAGCATTACCCCTTGATGCGAGGAGGTGGGAGCATAATTTGGTTAAGTAGTGACGACATCCTCATGTGATGGTGTCATCAGTGTACCTCCTAGTATCATTTTGACCCACCTGATCTGAACACTCACTCACATGTGACAATAGGGGTCTCCATGCCTTAGTCATTTTTCTCAGCCGACAAAGGTAAGGAATAGCTACTTAGTGCAGGGGACCAATACTGGAGAGAAGACCATTACCGATGTCGGTCACCATCGGAGCAGTTGGAGAGTAACCATCACTCCCCGTCAGCAGAGCGATTTTTCAATATAGTTACTTCTTGTGGCTATAAATAGGAGATGAAGATAACTGAGTAAATGCTAGCCAAATTTACACCATATAACCTAATGTCTAATTTTTTACTTTTCTTTTTTCCTCTGCAAGTTTGGTCAAAGTTGTAATTATATGCTCTCACTAGGCCTCAATAGGAGTAGGTTTTATTTAACATAGCTTTGTCTAGTATATCATAAAAAACATTGAACACTCATGTTTTAACTTTGTTCAAAGAGGTGTGAACTGTGTTTAGTAATCGTTTGGTAAGAAGTCAAATGTTCCACTCAATTTTGTCTTAACTCAATTTTCCTCACTAGAAAACAAATTGGCTCGGCCAGTGGGACTCTTCTGTTCAATTTGATGTCTCCGAGATAGAGGAATTAGGAAGGTGGAGTTTGGGTTGGTTTTTTGGAGGAACATGTTGCCAACATTGAACTTGTCCAAGCATTAGAGGTGGTGGCTAGAAATAATGGGGAAGCGAAGGTCCTTCCAATGGTGGCACCTAGTGGAGATTTCGGTGAAGCAGAGGGGGTCCTTTGTCAAACAATGAAGGAGAATAGTAAACTAGTGGCATAGAATGATAGAATGATAGAATCATAAAACCACAGAGGAGAACCGCCAAATGATTTTGAAGAACAGTCACATGATGGAGGAGTGTAGGGTCATTGCTCATTAGGTAAATTTCCAAATGAATTGTCTCAATTTTCTTGTAGATAGATGTTTGAATTAACTATTGAGGTGGTTATCAAAAATAAAAATTATTATGATGAGTTTACAAGATTTTAACCACACCAATACTTCAATCTAGAGTTTTGCTAATAAATGGCATGAATTCAGCCACAAAAAAACTTTTAGAAATACAAGTTAGTCTCTCGCCGCCGGCCGCAATGGTTTGCCAAGGCAAGATAGCTTCCGTCCACTACGCAAGTGTAGGGGTCACTCAATATGGAAATTGGAGAACTAGCCCCACATGGCGAGAATTCCACAGCTATCTATACCCATACCAGTGGCGAGGTCCTATACGGTGTCTGCTCATTTGCGAGTGTAGTAGGTTTAGGTGGGGAAAGTTTCCTAAGGGGCATGCCCAGCACCCATGCCACCCCATTTCAATTGACATGGCATGGAACCCATGTGGTTCATACCCCTTAGGTGGCAACATGGGGGAATGATCTCAATACTCTAAAGGATAGTTGGCTCAACTTCTCATTGAGCAATTCAGAATGGGAATGAGACCCTCCATGCCACTCATGTTCCAAAAACCTTACTCTAAATGGGTAGATAGACTCTACCTGTTCCAAGATTTTTCAGGGTGCCCGTGTTTGTTTTTTTCACTAGGGTGATGGGTCAGCCCATTGTGGAGCACATTGGACATTTCATTGACCAGTGCGGAGATGTGATAGATTTTGTTAAGATTATTTAGCAACTCATTAACATGACCAACGTTGGCTTGGTATGTTTACTTGTAGTCTAACTCCATTCGTACATGGGTACAGATAGAGTATATCTTCCATGCTTAGTTCTATAGATCTAAGCTTGAGGTCAACATAGCTGACTTGGCAAGTATGCACTAGGATTCATGGGAGTCAGTGGAACACTTCTTGACAAACTCAAAAAGTGACTCCTTGTGCGATGAAGGTGATCTGAGGTCCTACCCCTCTTAAAACAATTGTGAACCATTATGGAACTACTTTCACTTAGTGATGAAAATGGGACATGGCGAGGGGGTACCTCAATACCCATACCCCGCCCCACGCTAATGCGGGTCAGGGCGAGTACGGGGTGGACGGGTCGATCAACTCTTCCATGTTATTTGAAAAAAAAATACACGCAAAGTTTACTTTTTACGATACAACGAATAAGAGAACACTTTATGAATGAAAAAGTGAATAGAATGAGTAATTGAGTCTAACAAGTTGAAAGATCGACTCTAACTAGTTGAAGAAAAGTCCAAATAGGGGAAATATCTATATATATTGTAAGAAATCGAGATAGGATTAGCCATGAATGGGGTGGGGCAGGTCGAAAGTAGATACCCATGTCCCGCCCCATGCTACTACAGGTCGGGTAATACCCGTTGGGCGGGTTCAAATTGGCACCACTACTTTCACTCTAGAGTCCAACAAGTCGTCTTCATCCATCATAACACTAGTGCAAGCCAGCATCTCCACCACTAGTCTATCTTTGAATCAAGCCCATTCTTCATTGTCGGTGCGCACTATTTTTGGTCCAAATGGAACTACAATTCATATTGTACAAGTTCAACTACTTGAAGTTTCGAAATAAAATCAATCTATGGTTGAGGGGACGAAGAAAAATAGGTTAGTAACTCTCATAAGAAGTCGACACAGAAAGGGATTTTGTTAAACAACAACAACAACAAACCTCTAACCATTCGAGCCTCGGTAACGAAGAAAAATAAGCACACCAAGGAACTGGAACAATCAATTCTTATAATTCTGCAAGACGTAGAAGTTTTGAACTCTGTTCACCTCCAAAACTCTTGGAAATACATCGCAGACAAATGAAGGAATTGAACCTTCAATGATCCTCCCCGCATTTTCAAATTGACGCCCACACAATGGCATCGATCACATATTGTGATGTGCTCTTGGATCCTTTTTTATTTACTCTTAGGTCCTTATGTGATAGATTTGAAAGAGGCATTGCTTTGATTTGTCACTTGTTGTTTTTGTACCTCTTTCTATCTCTTTCTCTTCCCCTTCTTGTAACTCTATTCTTGGCTTAAAAGCCTCCTTTGAAGAAAAACAAAATGGTATATAAACGAACCCCCAAATCACAATAGGTAACCAAAACTTAGCAACATGGCTAGTGAATGAACCCAAAGATTTGGAAGGTGAAGTGAAACCCAAACCTCTAACCCTATACAGCCCAACCGAAAAATAGCTTGCCGTTTCTGAACTCGCCTGTGGAGTAATTCGCGTGGCGAGCGGCGGCCCAATTCCAATTCGCAACCCGTTTTCTGTTTTTGGCACCTTTTATGCCATTCCTTTCCCCCAGTCTCCAATCCCGGAGGGCGCTCGGAGAAAGAGAAGAAAAGGCTCGCGAGACTCACTGAAACCAGCCACACAAACGCAGCTGCGGAGGGCGACCTGAGATCCAGCCTCACACCCATCACAATCCACCGGCGACTGGTAACCATGTGGAGAAGGGCAGTTTGTTCGCAGCTCAAAACCCTCGGCGCCGCTGGGGGCAAGGCCTCCTCTTCGTCTCTGCCTTCTCGATTCCGTCACGCTGATAGATCCTTCATTTATCCGGTGGCATCTTCTTCTCTGTTCAACCGATATTTCAGCGCAGGTTCGAGAGAAAATATCATTAGTGATTAGACCCCCAATTTTTAGATCATCGTCTCTATTCATTGAATGTCAACTTTCTTTTTTCTTCTTTTGGAATTTTCTTTCTTGCGTAAGTGGCTGTTCTCGTTGTTTGGAGAATTTCATGGCTCTCCGTTTTGATTTTCAATCGATGTTTTGACGTGAAATGGCCGGAATGATGAGATTGTAACTGGTTCTGATTCTGGGTTTATTGGTTCACCTTGGCTCATCTGGAGTTAGATTTAAGTGGATTTTATCGGTGTTGGAATCGCAGTGTGCTCGTTTTCTCGGACAGGTATCTCTCTTTATATCGATTGAACGAGAAAGCTTTTGGGGTTGTCTTGCAGATGGTGCATTGAAAAAGCCAGTCGAGGATGTGATGCCTATTGCCACTGGCCATGAACGTGAAGAACTTGAAGCAGAACTGCAGGTGCGTGCCTACATTTATTCATTGTTGATGCAGAAAAGGACGGTGAATGAGTTGGACTGAGGTTTTCGTTTTTTTGTCAAATGTGGTTCAAATTTGTATGTTTGAATAGAAATTGAAGTATGAGCATATGTGATGTTAATTTGTTGCGTTAGTGACTGGAGTGGGAAGTTTAGTGTTGCATATGTATGTCCACAACAGATGTATGCACTGCTAATGTGTGGTTGTAATTAGCAGACTTGTTTGTGAGACATTTTCTGCTGAAGCATGAGAAATGTAATTGTAATGGATGGGATGTTCTCTTTCATCACTTAACGTGTATTCTTGAAATTTCTACTTTTTCAGGGAAAAGATATTCTTGACATTAACCACCCAGTTGGTCCATTTGGCACAAAGGTTAGTGCATTAAACATGTGCCTTGTACACCCCTTCTACTATCAGGATTTTTTTTATTTATAATTTTAGTCAGTTTTAACCTGCTAATAAGTCCTGTTTTTGACTATTTGCCTTGTGTGCTTGGAAACTATCTTGCTCTGCTTGTGACAAAGTTATATCTGCTAGCTGGCTTTACGTCCATTAGCTTCATTTTGGAAGACTGATGTTGCAGTTCGCTTTCCATCCCTTTCTTTGGGCTTCTTAGTTTCCCATTCCTTTTTTGAATTCTTTATGCAGTCATCGGCTTCATTCAACCTTTTTCCTGTTTTTCCCAAACAGCTCGAATTACTTTGAATAGATACAAATGTCTTTGGTTAGCTCCTTTGGGATTCTTCTTTTCAGCACACATGTATGCAGTACTAGTGCCAGTATGTAGCTCGATTGAGTCTTAGTATATTTTGTGATTCCTGCAGGAAGAACCTGCTGTTGTTAAGTCTTACTATGACAGGAGGGTAGTTGGATGCCCTGGAGGTGAAGGAGGTGAGTGACTATTCCCAACCGCTGGCCTTATTGCAACTCCCCTGCTCCTTTTATTCCCTTCCTGGAGAATTGAGGATTAAGTAGTAATATCACATCTACATAAACTTATGTTACTTCATTTGGATCTTTTTTGTTGACAGAGGATGAACATGATGTTGTCTGGTTTTGGTTGGAGAAAGGCAAGCCTATTGAGTGTCCTGTCTGTTCGCAGTACTTTGTGGTAAGTGTAGATGCTTGTTTTGAAACTTCAAGCAATATGTATATTGACTATTGAATCTGGATCTCAGCATTGGATACTTTCTGCCATGATGGAGTGGATGGGCTTAATGGTAGGATATAATGAATGAAAAGGCACCCTGTTTGTTAGCCTAATTTTGGAATCCCAAGGAATATGAGCATTCTGACCTTCCTGACATCGCTTTTTCTTCCATACCATGTAGCTAAGACATAGTGCCAAACTTTGTTTTAACTGAATGCTTAAAAGCTCAAACTAGATACTTATGAAGATAACTTGTAAAGTCTTGCATCATCATTCATCGTGCACTGGTTTTTGCTCTGAACATGAACTTTGACCACTATTCCTCAAGCACGAAAGTTCTAAGGGTGAGGACTACTTTCTTGCTTAGATCATCAGAAGCACTTCTTATATTGTAGTTGCATGCTTGCTGGTATTACCCCATACATATTTACGACCTTACCCGGTCAGTGTACTGTCGCATTCGTGATGCTGATCTGTCAGTTTGTTGATGTGATCCTCATGCATTCTAGTTGTGTGCTTTGTACTCATTGTTGGCTAAGTCATTATATGATTTAGCGGCTACTTAGTTTGCGTTTGCGAAAACCTAGTATTGGAAACCTAATTTTACTGCATACCTATTACTATCTGTTGAATGTTGGTATCAAGAAAGCAGCCAGGAACAATAAGAAGAGAGTATTTTTTTTTTTTTGCTCCGAAAGCGACTGAGTTTCGGATTAGAAAGGGTCCCTCTTAGCTTATAGGGCAAAGCTCTCATTGAAACCCTACTAGGCTAGTTGACTGACTGCTAGAGTGGCCCTTTGTTACAAGGGTACCAAATTGCAAACAAATTGATTTTAGACATAGATCAGCTTCTGAATTGGATTGGTTTTGTCTGCAGCTGGAAGTTGTGGGACCTGGAGGAGACCCTGAAGCTGGACACGGCGACGACCATCATCACTAGAGGCGTGCCAGCATTCCGACTTTCCAATTGGAATAAAAAGAATTTGTGGATGATGAGTTCTTTCCAAACGTACACAGTTCAGCAGCTTCAGGTTCAGAAAGCTTTGATAACTTTGTTTTCGTGTCTGATTGCTCTTCCTTTTTATTTTTGTCCCTGATGGTTGGGGTACGGGTCTGTTTTGTACGTCTCAGTCTCTGGAATACCATGAATCGTGTTAAAAAGTTTTTACCCCTTTAGAGCATTGCCCAAATAATTCATGGCTCATTACTTCTATTCTTTTTCTGGAACTGTTTTGAGGGAGGCTGGATTCTGGATTGCCCTCTGGTAGATCTTTTATTACATTCCCAAGTTCACTCGACTTCTATACTTCTATGCCCTTTGCTGGTTTAGATAGTCGCTTCTCAAATACCAATATGATCAGGGAGATTAGAAGCGCATTAGATCGAGGCTGGAGCGCTCCATGCCTAATCAATCTCATTACAAGCTGCAATCAAAACCCATGCGCAAGCAGTCGGCAATTCTGACTTAATGACAATACTACATAGGACGTACTAGACTGGATGTTTACATTATAGGACAAAGTTTTGATCTCGTTGTTACTCTGTTATCAATTTATGCAGCAGCAACCCATGGAACTTGGGTCTTGGGGAATATACACCTCACTTTTCTGAGAAGGCACACTCAACAAGAGGAAAAATTCCAAAATACACTAGTACTTAAAAAAAAATTCCAAAATACATAAGTTATAAAAAATAATTCTCAAAATACACATGTTTCATATTCACCGTTTTTGACTAACGTAGTGAATATAATCACCGCATTAGAAAAAGCGATAAATACCTCGTGTTTGTCCACGTCAATGATCCGCGTCGCGGATAGCTCACCGTTGTCGTTGGATGCGGTGAGGCGCGGTTTTGGTTTTTCTTCCCAGATCCGACGCTTATGCGCCCTTCACCGTCTTCGATAAAGGCGGTTTATTCACTACCTTTGTCAAATGCGGTGATGGCGCAGTGGCTGTTTTACGCACAAACTTCCCCTATATATAGAACACTCTCCCCCCACCCCCCCCCCCCCCCCCCCTCCTCCCCCTCCAAATCACACCACCACATTTACTCTTCTTTCTCCCTTCCTCTATCCACTCTAGTCTCGTTCTAAGTATGCCCTGGAGTTATACCCTAAAGCCCCCGTCCCTTATAAACCCGTCGAACCTCTGTCCGGCTTCCGCCAAAAAATGGACGAAGAGGCTCTTCGGGTAGGTTTTTGGTTTTTCTTTTGTGATTTTTTTAATCGAAACAATTTGATTTTGTGATTTTTTTAATCAAAACAATCTGATTTCATTACTTTTTTTATAGATGGGTGCCGAGATATACGATCCTCGATTGTATATCCATTATGGGCCAAGAGATACGAGGTATTTAACCGATCAAGAAGCACATCACTCCCGTGCTATTTGGGACAACAATCCGGTAAATTGATGATTTATTTTGCTTTATTTTATTATTTTATAAGGTTTTATTTTGCTTTCTTTTAACTAACAAATTGATGTTTTTTAATAGTAGGAATCACTTATACCCGTCATTCATAAAGGGACCACAAACCTACCCGCTTGGCATGATCGGTTGGCGCCGTATATAGATAGGACCGGGTTGGGTATGCTGAGGCATTTCATGCGGATTGAAATCGACAACGATCTGCTTACGGCAATGGCGGAGCGATGGCGTCCCGAAACCCATACGTTCCACCTTCCGGAGGGGGAAATGACGATCACCCTAAAAAATGTCGCGATCCTCATCGGGCTGCCGATTTCTGGAGAGACCATCATTGGTACCACTACCATGTCTGCACAAATATCACAGAGTTCTTGAAAATTGAATCGTGACTCAATTTTCAACATTGTGGATTCACCGTCCTCATAATCAATCCCTATGTCAGAGTTTGTCACCCTACAATCCACCGAATAATAAGCTGAAACTTCTTGAATTTACCCATATCTACAATTTACAATAAGTAACTATTAGCTTAATTCCAGTAAAATTAACCAAAACCATATTGTACGACTATTATTACTCCATCTCATAACTAACATTACATAAATTCAACTAACTAACAACAACATAAATTTCCCAACTAACAGAACATATTTGCTACGATAAGTAATTCATAACATAACAATATAACTACTAAAAACATCATTAGGCTACAATACAAAAATTAAATCATACCGAAAATTCATGTTCTGTGTATGTTGCTTGGTTTTGGTTGCAGAAATTTGAAGAGGGGAGGGGTTACGTGTTTACAACTGCTAGTGGGACTGGTATTTATAAGAAAATCGGCCAGCATTCACCGCGTTTGTCTCCAACGGTGAACACTATCACCACGTTGCCCTAAGGCGGTGAATATTAGGTGGTTGTGACCTAATTTTCACCTACCAGGGGTGGGAAACGTAGGAAACAATCACCGCCGTGACCTAGGGCGGTGAAGTTATTCTCCGCTTTTCCCTAAAACGATGACTTATTTACCGTTGTCAACAAACACGATGATGTCTTCACCGTTTAGATTAAACGCGGTGACTTATTCACCGTTTTGCTTAACCACGGTGAATACGTCATCGTTTTAAATAAAAACGGTAAAATCTTCACCGTGTTTGTCTGAAGCGGTGATTATGTTCACTGCGTTAGACAAAAACGATGAATGTGAAACATGTGTATTTTGGAAAAAAAAATTATTACTTATGTATTTTGGAATTTTTTTTTTAAGTACTAGTGTACTTTTGGATGTTTTTCCTCAACAAGATGTATAAAGGGTGTATTGTACCAATCATGATTTCTCTGAAATCAGTGAACATTAGAATCCCTTAAACTCTCAATTTTGCCAAAAGTTTTACGATTTACAATTTTTTTTTTACAAAAGATCATCTTATATTGATTGATAGAAGACAGTTACACCCTGGATTCCAGCCAGGTCTGAAAATCAAAGAAACGACACAAAGTCGGGTACAATGAAAGGGCCTTTCTAGCTACCTCATGAGCTACCCTATTATAACGCCGACCTACGAATCGAACACTAAACCCAGGATGGGTAACAAAATACTGTAATACTTCATCAAGAACAGCCCCCATATGGTTATCGCTGGTATCTGCCTGCCTGATCTTATCAATAATCACCTTGGCATATCCCTCAAATCTTACCACCGCGAAACCATGCTCCAGACACCACAACATTGCTTCTCGGAGGACTAGCAATTCCACCACAGCAAGATCATCAATTCCTGGAAACTGAACTCCTTTAGCCATTAAGATATCCCGAGCCGGATTCAAAATCACCATCCCCCCTGCCGCGTGAGATCCACTTCTCGTAGGCCCATCCCACATACAAACAACCATGCCAGGCTCGACTGGCTCCAGCTGTTGTAATCGTGGGCGCAAGGCCAGGTGCAGTGGTGGACCCAGAATTGTCGGAGAGGTGTGTCGCCGATAAAATCCAATAATAATTAAATTAAATTAAAAAATTTAGTAGAAATTAAAAGAAAAAATTAATTCATAAAGTGCACAATGTCATATTTACAACGAACCGCGACGACTTTTCATCTGTTGAAATGTCTCTAAAATACATTCATCACTTATGCTGCAAAGCAAATCTTTTTCAATATACACACCAAAACAATCATTCATAAATTGGTCACTCAACTGATTTCGAAGATCGTTCTTGATTATGTTCATAGCTGAAAATGCTCTTTCGCAGCTTGCAGTTGCAACAGGTAAAGTCAACACCAACTTCAACAGCAAGTAAACTAAAGGATAAAGAGTGTCCGCCTGGGCTATTGGCCATTTGACCTGTGGTTTTTTTTTTCTTCTCTTTTAATTATAGGCCCAGACCCAACAGACATCACACATATATATTCTATGGGCCGAGAGTCTGTTTTTTTTTTAATAGGAAGTGATAAGATTATGATTTATGAGTTATTTTAAACAAAATTAAAATGGATTATGATTAAGATTGATTCATTTGGATAATAAATTCTTCGACTATAATGAAGGTGTGTCGGCTATAATTATTGAAGGTGTGTCGGCTATTCTGAAGTAAACAATTTTGTACCTAAAATATATAGGTTCTTCGCAAAATTCTCGAGCGAGGGTGTGTCGGACGACACTCTTACTAGCCTTAGGTCCGCCACTTGCCAGGTGGTCCTGACATCTCGACAACCTTATCCATTCCTCATACTGCTGATTAAACTGGCGCATAAGAGCCGGGATCCTATACTGTTTTCCTTCAAAGACAACCCAGTTCCGAGACTGCCAGATCCGCCCAAGGATGGCTACGACCGCCATAACCAGCTCTGGCAGATGAATTAAGGACAGTAGCCTTTTAAGAAATAAAGGAAAAGTTTGAAGTTTGAAGTTTGACGTGGCAGCCCCTCGCCGAGGTACTCCAACCCAGAATAACCGCAAAGAGCGCGGGCCACCGGACAGTAGAGGAACAAATGTTCCATTGTCTCAGGTGCATCCCAGCAGACCGGGCATCGAGGAAGCACCAGAACTTTCTTCTCAATGAGAGCTTCTGTAATTGGGAGGATGCGATTCAGAATATGCCAGACAAACACCTTAAGTTTAGGCGGAATATTAGCTCTAATAGCTCTACAGGTAGGAGGGTCGAACCACTGCCCCAACTTAGCATCATTCCAACGTCCTTCTCCCTGACAAATAACCTCCGCTACAGGCGGATCACCCCCAGCTGGCAAAATCCGGGGATTAAACCTTGGGGGATCAAGTTGAAGCCTAGGAATCCAATTGGAGTGGAGAAGCGAAGCCAATTGGTCATTACCAATCTGTCATCGGAGACCCTTTCCAGGAGTTGACGATCAAACATGATGCTCTGCCACCCCCATGAGGGATGGGATCGAGCTGTGGCAGTAAGGAAGGTGCCAGTAGGAAAATATTTTCCTTTATAGACCCGGGCAAGTAGAGATTGGGGATCAGTGAGGATACGCCAACTAATTTTAGCTAAAAGGGCTTGATTAAATTGCTCAAATCGGCGAAAGCCCATTCCCCCCTCATGTTTACTCCTGCACATGTTACGTCAGGACATCCATCGAACCTTGGGCTGGCCCTCCACCGCCCCCACCAAAATCGAGCCACATGTATATCCAGCAGCCTACACAGAGAGACAGGCAGTTTGAAGCAGGACATCACATGCATCGGCAAGGCCATGGCAATTGATTTAATTAATGTTTCCTTAGCCACCCAAGAAAATGTTAACTGCTTCCATCCCTGGAGGCGTTCAAGCAGCTTTTCCTCCAAATATCGGAAGGTAGCCATTTTAGACCGGGCAAGCAATTTAGGCAAACCTATATATTTTTCATGGACCCCCACCGACCCAACCCCCAGAATCGCGGCTAAGAACTCGTGATCCTGAGGAGCAATATTCTTACTGAAGCAAACAACCGATTTCGCCAAATTCACTCGCTGACCATTAAGTTCCTCATATTCATTCAGGACCTCA